CCATGACGCTGAGCCCCGCTGCTGCCACCGCCACCGCCCCTCTGAGCTAGCGCGCCGGCGCCGGCAGGCGAGGCGGAGCGTGGAGGGACGGGCTGTCATCCTGCTCATTTTTTTCTAGAAATACTTGATCAGACTTTGGACCTACATTCCAGGAGTTCTTTGAATGCATGTTTTTAATGCAACAAAAGCATACATTTTGGTAAGAAGAATGGTCAGACGCTGAAGCAGAGATCACCACCCTAAGCGTGCTCTTCGGGCGCAAGGTTTCTTCCAGCACAGCCAAAGCGGCATGTTTTAGTTGTGGAACTTCACGAAGTAACACAACATTTGTTTTGCAGTTGTTGTGTTCCACCCTTGGCCCTTTAAAGGTCCCTCACATACAGCCACATACTTCATTAACATGATTTTGCCCGTTTCTCGGAAATCCAGTGACACGCTCTGTGATCTGCAGCCCAGGTCACTGTTAGAGACAGAATCTATTGTCTCAAGGCTTTCCTGCTTCCCTTCTCCACAGTGTCGCAGTCCCCAGTAGCACATTTCTCCGCTGTACATCATCGCCAGTAAGTGAGTATCACTAAATATACCTGCAAAAATAATTTAGATCAAGTACCTTATTGTTCTGTTATAAGCAAGTACACAGCTTGTTAACTTCAATTTTTTTTTGCAGTAACATGGGGAAAAAAATTCCAAAAAGGCAGTATAAGCCTATTAAAGAGGCTTTACCAAAATGCCAAAACCCCCAAATTTTAACCATGAGATAACTGCCCAGAACAGAACCTCGATCAAGGCCTTGCTCATTATTCTACCCATTTTGCCCCCCCATAATGCTAAAATCTCTTTAAGATTGCCATGTAGCTATTATTGTGATAATTGTGTTTGCCTATTTATCTTAGAGAACTTCAGTATTTCTTTACAATCCATTAAGCGCAGGCATGATTATGCATATTTATTTTAGAATACGTCTGTGTGTCCCACTATTTAAGCCTAAAAGAAGATGCTGTTCGAACATCATCTTAACTCAGGTTAACCAGCAGCAGCTTTAGTATTTGAATAGAAAGCCACACACGTGTCCACGGTCACTGAAAAAAAAAATCTTGCTAAATAAAACTACAAATCAGTTACTGAGCTTGGCTTTGCATTCTGGAGCTGAATTGGAGCAATGCCACTTTCAGATGAAATCAAGCAAGAAGGTGCTCCATCCCCCCCCTAGCCAGAGCAGAGCTAGTTTTGAGTGTGTACAACGTGGACATCATGTCCTCAGCACCAGCTGTTTTACCTTACAAACCCCCTCCTGCTGCATCACCCTACCTGCATCACATTGATGCAGCCTCAGATCCTCATGTAAGTGTACTATAGTAATGCAACTTACATAAAGCCACATGAAGTGGAGAGAGAGAAAATAAAAGTTTGCCAAATCTAACCAATTCTGCATGTACTTTCCACCTGTGTGAAGGTAATTCTGTGTTCCTATCTGTGTTCTCCTAGATCTGAACAGGAAGACCAACATGGGAGCATCTAGCACCCTCTGCAGTCCTATTTGTGCCTTCAACATTTGTCAACTGACAACTGGGTGGCTGTAAAACACACATGCTGTGCATAAGGCACCCATTGCCTCAGTTCACTTCCCTCCAGTGCATTCAAAAACATAGAGAAAATGAGCACTGCCACCTCCTAAAATCCATGAGTCATACAGAAGCAGGGGAGGGGAGAGCACTGCTGCCTGCTTATCTGTCTCATCTTTTTTTTTTTTGTCCTAAAAAGTGACAGTTTTTGAGTACAAATGAAGTCAAACAACAAAAATACGCAATAAAGTATTTCATAAAGTGGAAGAGTTATTAAGAGGAACGGGATGTGGGGTTTTTGGAGTTGTGGGAGTTTTTTTACCTTCACTGAGTAATCTAGCTGTATCTTTATCTTGAAGTGAGACATCTTCATTTAGCTGAAGAGGGCATCTAAAGCTAAGCATCTTCATCAAGTAATGAACTCCATCATTAAGACACTGAGTACAGTTAAAAAATGAGGAGAAAAAAAACTTTTAGATAAGTTCTGATTAATTTAATGATAGCCAGAAATAATTCTCACTATGAATTTCCCAAAACCCTATTTAAAAGGAAAAAAACAAAGAAGCTATATTTTAAAAGCGAAGTGTCAAACTTTAAAACAGTACTCATGTGCTTATAGAACTTTTTAATCTCCTTTACCTTTTTAAATATAGCAATGTTTTCTCGTAGCCATTCACTCCTTTCTTTTGCAGTGTGACAATACATGTAAAGCAGGGCTCCTTTTCTCCAGTAAAGACATTCTAACAACTCTGCACCAAGGATGTTGATGGGCTGAAATAAAATCCAACAAACTGGCTAACCCAAACGTAAACCATCTGAACTACTCATGTACACACTCACACATGCAAACAGTATTATACTAAGTCTCTAACTTTAGAGGCTGCATTTAACAGCAACAGTCACAGACACAAGCCTAATACCTTGGATTTAAACTGCCAAAAGCACATGGAATCGTGAAGTGGTAGCAAGAAAAATTCTGAGCATGCAACAACTTCTCTGAAAAAATATTTTCAGGAATCACTATTTAAATATAAGTAAGACTTGAAACAAAAGATTTTAAATTCTACCCATCAAAAATACAAATTACTCTCCTGTTTCAGATTTTTTATTTTAAAATAATGAAATAATTAATTCTCTGGCTGAATAATGTTAGTACTCACTTCTTCATTTATGTTGCATTCCCTCACTAGATCTTCTGGTTCTGAAAGAATACAAGTAAGTTCTTTAACTTTTTGCAAGGAAGATTCTTCTGGAAACTCTTCATCCACAAGCTTGTTTTCCTCAAAATATGTAATGTCTAAGACAGCCTATGAAAACAAGAAGATACACAATATAAAAATGCTACCAGCAAAATAATCAAATGGTGATGTGCAGTAACATACAAACTTGTTACAGTTTATAAAACATTACAATTTTAAGGTAATTTTTAACATTTAGTTTAGAAAAGCTGCAAGCTAAAAGTATTGTAAGATTGTTGACAGTGAACATAAACTCAAAACCCTTTCTGTCCTTACAGTACCAGCACAATTATTATTGACTTAAGTTATCTTCTAACTCAGACAAAAGCAGCCCTGCACTTAATGGATATTCACTGCACACACCAAGTAAGAGAGATCCCTTTCCGCTACACCCTCTTGCCTACACCCAGCCCTCTTTCATACCCTACACAGTAGATTTTCTTGAAAGGCAGTTTTAATGCTTTAAATATACTACCTGCGTATAGAGCTGCAAAAGCGTGGAAGGATGTTCTTTCCCTTCGTTACAGAGGTTCTTCAACTTGTCCAGAGTAGCAGAGCCCTTTGCTAAGAAGGTATCTGAAGGAAGAATACGCTTCCTTAGCACTGAAAAACACTCAGCAAGAGCTTACCCTCCCTTTTCACTTCATATAGCTTTATCCATCCTTGCGGTATCTACAAGAGCAGCTGAATAATACTGCATTTAAACAGGCCCACTGTCCTGTTAGACTATGCCTTTCACGACTAAATTAAGGGCATTCGTGGTTACGGTCTGATGTTTCAAAACCAATTCCACACTCTGTTTGCAAAGAAGTCATGTACCAAAAGCACAACGTGCTAATGCGCAGGTACACGTTTCAGGCCTTGGCCGCCCTGCTCCACAGAGAAGAGTCCCGACGGAGGCCGGGGCCGGCACCAGCCGTCCTGCTCCTTGGGCGAGCCTCTTCCCGGAGGAGGGAGAAGCGGAGCGCACCCAGGCCCGCTCCCGCAGCGCTGCGGGATGCCGCACACCGCGACGGCAGCAGAGGGCGGAGCGGGCCCGCGGGAACC